CAAAGAAGACGTGGTACATATTATAATGGAATATTACTCAGCCATAAGAAGGAATGAAATTGGGTCATTTGTAGAGACGTGGCTGGATCTAGAGACTGTCATACATTGTGGAGTAAATCAGAAAGAGAAAACAAATATTGTATATTAATGCATATATGTAGAATCTAGAAAAATGGTACAGATGAGTCAGTTTGCAAGGCAGAAATAGAGACACATGTAGAGAACAAATGTATGGACACCAAGGGGGGAAAACCATGGCAGGGGGGGATTAATTGGGAGATTGGGATTGACATATATACACTAATATGTATAAAATAGAGAACTTATAAGAACCTGCTGTATAAAAAAATAAAAATTAAAAAATAGGTGCTTTTAGTCTCACAGTCACAACTTATTCTACTGATATTTATGTTAGATAATACCTGCTAACTGGTTTTTATGCATTTGCTAGTTTCTTTATTCTTTAACTGTACAATAAATAAGTCAGTAATACGGTGATTGAGTAACAAGCCTCAAGAGAAATATGATCTGTCTTATTCTCTGGCTTGTAAGATAATTTGTTAACCTTTTTCTGGTGTATCATCATGGACCTCTGACTCATATTCACTTTATATCAACAAACCTCAGCCACTATTCTCCTTCAATGTTGAAGTTGTCTTACTCAGTTTGGGCCAGAAGGAGCCCCTTTTAAATCAGTTCCTGTGTCCTGTGATTGCCATTAATCTCTATGCATCTTCTCACTTTCTGGCATAAGGAGGTGTTCCAGGCTCATTTTGTACTATTCTGTCTCAGACATGGGATTAGCCTTTTCTCCAAAAAGCCTTGATTCCTTTGATTAAAAAGTGATATTGGAGGCTGGAATTTCAGTACTAGGGTGCATCATGGAGGTCCTCTTACACCACTTCAGTAGACAGGGCTAGAAAAGATGCATTTTTACAATAGTTTTTTCATATAAAGCCATGAGTTCATATTGATATTTCCAGTCCAGTTCTAACAGAACAGTTCCTTTTAATATCCTTGACTATATAATTGTATCTCCTTTTATAATAAACAACTTAAACATGAATGCACAATTTACCTAAACATGTAAATACAATTACTTACTTCCTTTATCTGGCAGTATGAGAGAACAAATTCAAAATAACAATTCAGGACTTCCCTGGTGGTGCACTGGTTAAGAATCCACCTGCCAATGCAGGGGACACGGGTTCAAGCCCTGGTCCGGGAAGATCCCACATGCCATGTGCGCCACAACTACTGAGCCTGCGCTCTAGAGCCCATGAACCACAACTACTGAGCCCACGTACTACAACTACTGAAGCCCACACACCTAGAGCCCGTGCTCTGCAACAAGAGAAGCCACCACAATGAGAAGCCCGTGTACTGCAACGAAGAGTAGCCCCCACTCACCACAACTAGAGAAAGCCTGTGCACAGAATGAAAACCCAACACAGCCAAAAATAAATAAAATACATTTTTTAAAAATAACAATTTAATATTCATATAAATCATACAATTGTTACTGAACCAAACGTGGGTCTGCTCAGCTGCATGCAGCAAAGCCAATTTACTGACCCCTGGTTGTGGTGAAGGAAAGTACAGAATTTATTGCAGACGCCAAGCAAGGAGAATGGATGGCTCATTCTCGAAAGAACCAAACTCCCTGATGGCTTTCAGGGAAAGGTTTTTAAAGACAGGGTGAGGGAGAGGGTTAAGGGATGCGTAATTGACTCATGCATGTCCTTTTGATTGGTCGGTGGTGAGGTAACAGGGTGGCATTTTAGGAGTCAACATCATCAACTTTCTGGTTCCATTCAATCTTGGGGCGGCATGCCGGCAGTCAGCATGCATGCCGGTGGTCAGCATGCAGTCAACTTCCTCCACCTGGTTGGGGTTTTAGTATCTGCAAAACAACTGAAGAATATGCGTCAGACTTACCTTTACTTTTGAAACAGAACTGGGAGTTATTGTGACTGATATATTTTTTAAGTTATGGATGTTCTCCTGCCTGACTGTCCTATCTTTGTTTCTGCATTCTTTACTTCCCCAAATATTAACTGCTAGGGCCTGTTCTTTGCTCCACATGTAGGAGCCTAGGAGGTCACAGTGTATTTCAATAGCCTCTTTTCCCAATTAATAATAAGCGAGGACACAAACAGGTCTGTCACTGGGAAGACCTCTACTGGGCCTGCTCAGTTTCAGTTCCCCCTTTTCTTTGACTCTTTTCCATCCTGAGAGGAGCAGGGGATGGGACAAGAAAGATAATACAGTTTTAAATAAAGAGGTTAATCATAAACTCAGCACAGGAACTCAGTTTGGGGAGAACTTAATTTCACAATTGCTTAATGAAACTCAAAAATTTTCTAGTAGGATTTAAAGTTTGTTTGCTTTGTTCCACATTATGTCTCATTCTGGTGTGTATTGAAATTTCTCTGATAGAGAGTTTAGGTCAATCATTTGAGATTGTTTTCACTTTAAGGATCTTTTAAAAAAATAGTTATTTATTTGTTTGTTTATGCATTTTAGCTGCACTGGGTCTTAGTTGTGGCACGCGGGATCTTCGTAATGGCATGCAGGGTCTTTAGTTGCGGCATGTGGACTCTTAGTTGCAGCATGCATGTGGGATCTAGTTCCCCAACCAGGGATCGAACCCAGGCCCCATGCATTGGGAATGCAGAGTCTTACCCACTGGACCACCAGGGAAGTCCCCACTTTGGGAATCTTGACATCCTAACAACTAATAGTTCTAAGGTCATAGAACAGGGTAGTTTTCAGCTAGACAGAAGACACAAGAGTTTATTTTACCTCCAGTTAATGGAAAGAACTTCAACAACTCAGTCTCCAGAATTCTTTAATGGGTTCATTTACCTACCACCTAACATCTATCATTTTGTCAGTATACCAATGGCTAGATGCATGTACAATAGTGAGGAAAGGGAATTTTTTTTTTTTTTGGCTGTGCCGCACAGCATATGGGATATTGTTTCCCTGACCAGGGATGGAGCCTGTGCGTCCTGCCATGGAAGTGCAGAGTCTTAATCACTGGACTGCCAGGGAAGTCCCAGGAATGGGAATTTTAGAGTCTCTGGTAGAACTAGGTTGTTATTTGCTCCAAACCAGAACTGTATCTTTTTATCAAATCAGTAATTTTTGAATTTCCTATCTTGTTTTTCCTTTTCTGAAGCCAATTTTTGGGCCTCTCTAGCAAGTTTTTCTAAATTATCATTTGGGGAAATAGCACTTTGGACCATGACAGAGGTTTGGCTGCTGTTGGCCCCTTTAAGGGCAGCATTTGTTGCAGAAATACCAGCAAGGTGTTTTCCCGTAGCTTCCAGAGAGTCAAGTTTATATATACCACATCTTCTTTATTCATTCATCTACCAGTGGACAATTAAGTTGCTTCTTTTACTGAACCAAACTTGGGTCTTCAGGCTGTCTTTTCCACATTATATATTCTTGCCTCATCTGTCATAGAGTCATTGGCCATATAAGTGTGGGTTTATTTCTGGGCTCTTTGTTCTGTTCCATTGATCTATGTGTCTGAATTTGTGCCAGTAGCATCCTATTTTGATGACTGTATCTTTGTGGTATAGCTTGAAATCAGGGAGCATGATACCTCCAGTTTTGCTCTTCTTTCATAAGATTGTTTTGGCTATTCAGCGTCTTTGTATTTCCATACAAATTTTAGAATTGTTTCTTCTAGTTCCGTGAAAAATGCCAGTGGTATTTTGATAGGGATTGCAATGAATCTGTAGATTGCCTTGGGTAGTATGGAGAATTTAACAATATTAATTCTTTCAATCCATGAGCACAGCGTATCTTTCCATTTGTTTGTGTCATCTTCAGTTTCTTTCATCAATGTCTTATAGTTTTCCAAGCACAGATATTTACTTTCTTAGATTTACTCCTAGGTATTTTATACTTTTTGATAAGATTGTAAAATGAGATTGTTTTCTTAATTTTATTTGATAGTTTGTTGTTATTGTATAGAAACACAACAGATTTCTGTATATTAATATTGTATCCTGCAACTTTACTGAATTCACTAATAAGTTCTAGTGGTTTTTTGGTGGTGTCTTTAGGATTTTCTATGTATAATATGATGTCATCTGCAAACAGTGACAGTTACTTCTTCCTTTCCAATTTAAAATCCTTTTATTTCTTTTTCTTCTGTGATGGCTGTGGCTAGGACTTCCAATATTATGTTGGATAAAAGTGGTGAGAGTGGGCATCCTTGTCTTGTTCCTGATCTTAGAGGAAATGCTTTCAGCTTTTCACCCTTGAGTATGATGTTAGCTGTGAGCTTATCATATATGGCCTTTATTATGTTGAGGTATGTTCCCTCTCTGCCCACTTTGTTGAGAATTTTTATCATAAATGGATGTGGATTTTGTCAAAAGCTTTTCATGCATCTATTGAGATAATCATGTGATTTTTCTTCAATTCATTAATGTGGCATATCATATTGATTAATTTGTAGATATTGAACCATCCTTGCATCCCTGGGATAAATCCCGCTTGATCATGATATATGATTGTTTTAATGTTTTGTTGAATTTGGTTTGCCAATATTTTGTAAGGGCTTTTTTAAAATCAATGTTAGTCAGTGATACTGACCTGTAATTTTCTTTTTTTGCGGTATCTTTGTCTGGTTTTGTTATCAGAGTGAGGCTGGCCTTGTAAATGAGTTTGGAAGCCATCCTTCCTCTTCAATTTTTTTGAATGGTTTCAAGAAGATAGGTGTTAACTCATTTAAATGTTTGGTATAATTCATCTGTGAAGCCCTCTGGTCCTGGCCTTATGTTTGTTGGGAGTTTTTTGATTACTGATTCAACTTCATTACTAGTCATTGGTCTGTTCATATTTTCTGTTTCTTCTATCTTTGGAGATTATATGTTTCTTGGATTTTATCGATTTCTTCTAGGTTGTCCATTTTATTGGCATATAATAGTTCACAGTAACCTCATGATTCTTTGCATTTCTGTGGTGTTGGTTGTAACCTCTCCTCTTTCATTTCTAATTTTATTTTGGGGGGGGTCTCTTTTTTATTTCTTGATAAGTCTGTCCAAAGGTTTATCAATTTTGCTTCTATTTTCAAGAAACCACCTCTTAGTTTCATTAACCTTTTCTATTTTTTTTAGTCTCTATTTCATTTATTTCTGCTCTGATCTTTATTATTTCTTTCCTTCTACTAACTTTGGGTTTTGTTTGTTCTTCCTTTTCTAGTTACTTTACATGTAAGGTCTGGTTGTTCATTTGAGATTTTTCTAGTTTCTTGAGGTAGGCTTGTATCATTATAAACTTCCCTCTTAGAACTGCTTTTGCTGCATCCCATAGATTTTGGATTGTTGAGTTCACATTTTCATTTGTCCTCATTGATTTCTTCAGTGACAATTGGTTCTTAATAGCATATTGTGTAGCCTCTGTGTGTTTGTGTGTTTTTCCAGGTTTTTCCTTGTGGTTGATTTCTAGTTTCATACCATTTGGGTCAGAAAAGATACTTGATATGATTTCAGTCCTCTTAAATTTATTGAGACTAGTTTTGTGGCCTACACATGATCTATCCTGGAGAATGTTCCAAGTGCACTTGAAAAGAATGTGTATTCTGCTGCTTTGGGATGAAATTCTACATATATATATCTTCACCTGGTCTAATGTGTTGCTTATAGCCAGTGTTCCCCTGTTGATTTTCTGTCTGGATAATTTGTTCATTTATGTAAGTGGGGTTAAAGTACCCTACTATTATTGTGTTACTCTTAGTTTCTCCATTTATGTTTGTTAATATTTGCTTTATGTATTTAGGTGCTCCTATGTTGGGTGCATATTTATTTACATTTCTTATACTCCCATGTTGGATTGATCCATTTGTCGTTATGTAATGTCCTTCTTTGACTCCTGTTACAGTCTTTGTTAAAGTCTATTTTGTCTGATTTGAAGTGTTGTTTCTCCTGCTTTCCTTTTATTTCCAGTTGCATGGAATACCTTTTTCCATCCCCTCACTTTCAGTCTGTATGTGTCTTTAGATCTGAAGTGAGTCTCTTGCAGACTCATGTAAATGAGTCTTGTTTTTGTATCCATTCAGCCACCCTATCTCTTTTGATTGGAGCATATAATCCATTTACATTTAAAGTAGTTATTAATAAGTATGTACTTATTGCCATTTTATTGTTTTCTTGTTTTGTAGTTATTTTTTGTTCTTTTTCTCTTCTTTTGCTCTCTTTGTGATTTAATAACTATCTTTAGTGTTATGTTTGGCTCCTTTTCTCTTTTCTTGCATGTGTATCTATTGTAGATTTTTGGATTGTTGTTACCAATAGATTTATGTATAGCCATATATAGTGAAGTCCCTTTAACATTTCTTGTGAAGCCAGCTTGGTGTTAAGCTAAACTCTTTCAGCTTTTTCTTGTCTATTAGACTCTTTACCTATTCTTCAAATCTTAATGATAACTTTGCCTGGTATTCTTGTTTTTGTTCCTTTCGTCACTTTAAATATATCATGCCGCCCCCTTCTTGCCTGCAAAGTTTCTGCTGAAGGGTCAGCTGATGGTCTTATGAGAGTTCCCTTGTACATAACTAGTTGCTTTTCCCTTTCTGCTTTTAAGATTCTCTTTTTATCTTTATTTTTTGCCATTTTAATCACCATGTGTCTTGATGTGGTCGTCTTTGGGTTGATCCTGTTTAGAAATCTCTGTACTTCCTGGACCTGGATGTCTATTTCTTTTCCCAAGCTAGGGAAGTTTTCAGCTATTATCTCTTCAAATAAGCTCTCTGCCCCCGTCTTCTGGCATCCCTGTAATGCAAATGTTATATGCTTGATGTTGTCCCAGGGGTCTCTTAAACTATCCTCATTTTTTTTTAATTCTTTTTTCTTTTTTATGTTCAGTTTGGTTGGGTTCCACTACTCTGTCTTCCAGTTTTCTGAGCCATTCCTCTGTATCATCTAATCTACTGTTGTTTCCTTCTAGCATATTTTTAATTTCAGATATTGTATTCTTCAGCTCTGTTTCATTCTCTCTTTTTAACTCTTTGTTAAACTTCTCACAGTGTTCATCCATTCTCCTCCCAAGTTCTCTGAGGATCTTTATGATCATTACCTGAACCATTATCAGGTAGATTGGTTATCCCCACTTCACTTAGCTTTTCTTCTGGGGATTGACCTTGTTCCTTTGTTTGGATCATATTCCTCTGTCACCTCATTTTGCCTAATTTTGTACTTTTACTTCCATGTAGTCAGCAGGTCTGTTACATTTCCCAATCTTGGAAAAGTAGCCTTATGAAGGAGACGTCCTATAGGGACCCTTCCTATAGGACCCTCCCCTCTGTTCACTAGAGCTATATGCTCGAGGGCTGCCTCCTCTGTGGGCTGTGTGGGCCCTTTTGTTGTAGCAGGGCTGACCATTGTCAGCACACTGGTAGGTAGAGCTACCCCTGCCCCGTAGCCCTGCCTCATGCAGAGGCTGCTGGTCTGCTGGTGGATGGGGCCTGGCCCTGTCACAGCTGACTTTGGGGACTGGGGGTCCTCAGGCTGGTGCCATCCCACTGGTGGGTGGGGCTAGGTCCTGGGGTTCCTGCTTGTAGGGCTCAGAGGGTCCCAGGACTGATGCTGGCCCGCTGGTGGGTGGGCAAGCCTCTGTTGCTAATAGGCTAGAGGAAGGACTCCAAAGTGCCTCTTGTCAGCACTGGTGTCCTTGTGGTAGAATGGGCGCCCCAAAATGGCTGCCACCAGCATCTTTGTCTGCAGGGGGAGTCTCGGTTGCCTCTTGCCTCTCTGGGGGGCTCTCCAAGATCAGCAGCAAGTGGCTTTAACCCAGACTCCTTTCAAACTACTGCTTCTGTTCTGGGACTTGTAGCATGTGAGATTTTGTGTGTGCCCTTTAAGAGTGGAGCCTCTGTTTCCTATAGCCCTCTGGCTCTCCTGTACACGAGCCCTGCTGGCCTTCAAAGCCAGATGTTCTGGGTCCCGCTGCAGGGCCCCAGGCTGGGGAGGCTGATGCCAGGCTTGGACCCCTCGCTCCTCGGAGACAACCTCTGTGATTGGGGTTGTCCTCCTTTTTGTCGTTGTCTACCCAGGCTAGGGAGGCTGACGCCAGGCTTGGACCCCTCGCTCCTCGGAGACAACCTCTGTGATTGGGGTTGTCCTCCTTTTTGTCGTTGTCTACCCAGGCTGGGGAGGCTGACGCCAGGCTTGGACCCCTCGCTCCTCGGAGACAACCTCTGTGATTGGGGTTGTCCTCCTTTTTGTCGTCGTCTACCCAGGGCTGTGGGTCTTGACTGTGACACGTCTCCGCCCCTCCTACCGGTCTCGCTCTGGCTCCTTCTTTATTTCTTTAAAATAAATTTTTTGTGCTAGTCTTCATGTCATTCTCGTTGACAGTTTCTCTGTAAATAATTGTGATTTTGCTCCTCCTTTGGGAGGAGGTGAGCTCAGGGCCTTCCGGCCCCACCATCTTGGCCGCACTGCTAGTTTCTCCCCTTCCTTTTCATGTAGAAAAAGGAAAGGGGGTGGACGGATCTGATATCTGGGATGCCCATGGGCAGGTGGGTTCTACAAAGTTTTCTTCATGGCCTTGAAGACCATGTCATCTGGTTTTTCCCATAAAATTGGGTCAGGGTTGTTATTGTTCAGTAAAACATATAGAAGTTTGGCCATAAGAGAGAAATTTGGAATCCAATTTCAGCTGTAACTAGCTGGCCCAAGAAAACCTCTCAGCTGGTTAACTTATGACAGCATGAAGCCTGTCTGAATCTACGTGTAGTCCTTGCTCTGATGTCAGATGCCCTAAGGTCGAACCTGGGATTGGGAAAACTGCCACTTTCTTTGGCAGTCTTGTATCCCTTTATGGCAAGTAGAGTCGATCTTCCTGTGAAGAGGCTTGAAAAGAGAGCAAAGAAGCAAATCTACATGAAGCAACGAAGTAGAACCTTTAGGGAACTTTATTTTATATCATCCAGATCAGCCTTCGGGTTTGTGAGAAATAACGGCTCTCAGTAAAACCCTGAGGCATTACTGTCCAGGTGAGTCGTTCTTCTTCCAAGTGAAGAGGAAAAGGTATTGGCCTGTTTCATTGACCAGAATACTAAAGAATGCACATGAGAAATAAAATATTGACTGCCGTATCAGTAAACAAATGATGTCACAGTCATCAGCGATTGCAGCCACCTCTGAAGGTGAGCAGTGAGCCCTGAGGGACCTCGGGAGGAAATAAAGAATACCTGCCATCTAGCAGCCATCAGACTGCAGCCACTCGGGAAGGTGAAACTCAGCATGTGAAAACAGGATACTGGCCCCAGGTAGCTGAGGTAGCTGAGGTGGATATCCAAGGAATGATGTCAGTGAGCTCAGACTCTTGCATCTTCCCATGCATAGAAAAAGTGCTGAATTCCTTAACTTGAGATATCGTTTTCTTTTATTATCAGTAATCTTTTGTTGCAAAACTCCTATATATCCTAGCTCCCCCCTCACCTCCTTGGAGCAGTTCTCTCAGGGTTACTTGAGATGCTGCCTCCCGGGCTTGAAGTCCTCAGTATGTCCGCCAAATAAAACATAACTCTCAATTTTTAGGATGTGAAATTTTTTAGTTGACACACTGCATAAATCAGTTACATAAAGGATTTACTTCTGGTGGGAATGGATGTATGAGGGTTAGTAACAACAGGATGTGGAAGGATAACAGTGTTGTCTATTGCCTGGAGGTCCTGGACAAACCTCCACCCTGGGCCTTAGAGAGCGTTCCAGGGACCAGTACAAGGGATAACGAAGTCTTGAGACTTGTAATGTACTTCGCGCTTTATGCCTTGAAGGGCTTCTTTACTTAGAATATTGATCAATTCTGGGAAGAGTTTTTTGAGGGATCTATTTTGATGACAGATTCTCTGTGAGTTTTGCCAACATCAGTTGGAGATTTTGCCCATAATGAGGTTGGTAGCAGATTCAATAGGACAAACGATCAGTGTTTTCAGGGTCAGCTCTAGTATCATCAGAGAGGAACAAATAAAAGATGTCAAAGTGTCAGTTAATTCTCCGGATTAGTTACTGTGATGACTACTGTCAAGTTCTAGAATTATTCCCCCCTTTTGAGAGAAAGAAATTCTGGCATGATACTTCTTTAAGAAGCCTCCACATAATAAATAGATAGGAGTGGGGAAACTAAGGTTGAAAGGGTACATAGTTCTCAAAGGGTCTAAACAAAAGGGAATAGATTCAGACACAGGAACCTCTTGAGGTTCCTTAGAGATTCCACTATTTGAACTGTTTTAGTGCTCCGAGGCAGGGGCTGTTTAAGTAGTGAAGTTGAGCACTGAGCGTGTGGGTCCAGT